CTTTGTCAGATGTATAGATTGTGAAGATTTTCTCCGTTCTGTGGGTTGTCTGTTTACTCTGCTGACTGTTCCTTTTGCCGTGCAAAAGCTCCTTAGTTTAATTAAGTCCCAACTATTTATCTTTGTTTTTATTGAATTTGCTTTTGGGTTCCTGGTCATGAAATCCTTGCCTAAGTCAAGGTTTAGAAGGGTTTTTCCAATATTATCTTCTAGAATTGTACAGTTTCAGGATGGAAGTCCCTAATCCATCTTGAGTTGATTTTTGTATAAGGTGAGAGGAGGATCCTATTTTGTTCTCCCACATGTGGTTAGCCAATTATCCCGGCATCATTTGATGAAAAGAGTATCCTTTCCCCACTTTATGGTTTGGTTTGCTTCGTTGAAGATTAGTTGGCTGTTTCGTTGAAGATTAGTTGGCTGTAAGCATTTGGGTTTATTTCTGGGTTCTGTATTCTGTTCCATTGGTCTATGTGCCTATTTTTATACCAGAACTATGGTGTTTTGGTGACTATGGCCTTATAGTATAGTTTGAAATCAGGTAGTGTGCTGCCTCCAGATTTGTTCTTTCTGCTTAGTCGTGCTTTGGCTATGTGGGTTCTATATGAAATTTAGAATTGTTTTTTCTAAGTCTGTGAAGAATCATGGTGGTATTTTGATAGGGATTGTGGATTTCAAACAAATCAGTAAACGATCCCATCAAAAAGTGGGCTAAGGACATGAAAAGAAAATTCTCCAAAGAAGATATGCAAATGGCCAACAAACATAATTAAAAATGCTCAACATCACTAATGATTAGGGAAGTGCAAATCAAAACCACAATGCGATACCACCTTACTCCTGCAAGAATGGCCATAATCAAAAAATCAAAAAACAGTAGATGTTGGCATGGATGCAGTGATCAGGGAACACTTCTACACTGCCAGTGGGAATGTAAACTAGTACAGCCACTATGGAAAACAGTGTGGCGATTCCTTAAAGAACTAAAAGTAGAACTACCATTTGACCCAGCAATCCCACTACTGGGTGTCTACCCAGAGGAAAAGAAGTCATTATACGAAAAAGATACTGACATATGCATGTTTATAGCAGCACAATTCCAATTGCAAAATCGTGGAACCAACCCAAATAACCATCAGTCAACGAGTGGATAAAGAAACTGTGGTACTTTTTTGCAATGAGTTTGCCACCAGAACACCCCTAAAAGCCAAAATGGGAAAGGAAAAGACTCATCTCAACATTGTCGTCATTGGACATTGATGCCTCAGGACACAGAGACTTCACCAAAAACGTGATTACAGGGACATCTCAGGCTGACCGTGCTGTCCTGATTGTTGCTGTTGGTGTTGGTGAATTTGAAGCTGGTATCTCCAAGAATAGGCAGACCCAAGAGCATGCCCTTCTGGCTTACACACTGGGCGTGAAACAACTAATTGTTGGTGTTAACAAAATGGATTCTACCTAGCCACCCTACACCCAGAAGAAATATGAGGAAATTGTTAAGGAAGTCAGCACTTATATTAAGAAAATTGGCTACAACCCCATCACAGTAGCATTTGTGCCAATTTCTGGTTGGAATGGTGACACCATGCTAGAGCCAAATGCTAGCATGCCTTGGTTCCAGGGATGGAAAGTCATCTGTAAGGATGGCAATGCCAGTGGAACCATGCTGCTTGAGGCTCTGGACCGAATCCAGCTGACACCAGCTCATCCAACTGACAAGCCCTTGCACCTGCCTCTCCAGGATGTCTACAAATTGGTGGTACCGGTACTGTTCCTGTTGGCTGAGTGAAGACTGGTGTTCTGAAACCTGGTATGGTGGTCACCTTTGCTCCAGTCAATGTTAAAGCTGAAGTAAAATCTGTCGAAATGCACCACGAAGCTTTGAGTGAAGTTCTTCCTGGGGACAATGTGGGCTTCAATGTCAAGAATGCGTCTGTCAAGGATGTTCATCTTGGCAACGTTGCTGGTGACAGCAAAAACGACCCACCAATAGAAGCAGCTGGCTTCACCACTCAGGTGATTATCCTGAACCATCCAGGCCAAATCAGCACTGGCTATGCCCCTGTACTGGATTGCCACATGGCTCATACTGCATGCAAGTTTGCTGAGCTGAAGGAAAAGATTGATCACCATTCTGGTAAAAAGCTGGAAGATGGCCCTAAATTCTTTAAGTCTGGAGATACTGCCATCATTGATGTGGTTCCTGGCAAACCCATGTGTGTTGAGAGCTTCTAGGACTATCCACTTCTGGGTCGCTTTGCTGTTCATGATGTGAGACAGACAGTTGCCATGGGTGTCATCAGAGCAGTGGACAAGAAGGCTGCTGGAGCTGGCAAGCTCACCAAGTCTGCCCAGAAAGCTCAGAAGGGTAAATGAATATTATCCCTAATACCTGCCACCCCGGTCTTAATCGGTGGTGGAAGAACAGTCTGAGAACTGTTTGTTTCAATTGGCCATTTAACTTTAGTAATAAAAGACTGGTTAGGGATAACAATGCATCATAAAACCTTCAAAAGGAAAGGAGAATGTTTTGTGGACCACTTTGGTTTTCTTTTTTGCGTGTGGCAGTTTTAAGTTACTAGTTTTTTAAATCAGTACTTTTTAATGGAAACAGCTTGACCAAAAATTTATCACAGAATTTTGAGACCCATTTAAAAAGTTTAATGCAGAAAAAAAAGAAACTGTGGCATGTATATATATACAATGGAATACTGCTCAGCCATAAAAAAAAGTAATGATTTAACAGCATTTGCAACAACGTAGATGAGATTGGAGAAAACTGTTCTAAGTGAAGTAACTCAGGAATGGAAAACCAAACATCATATCTTCTCACCAATATGTGGGAGCTAAGCTATGAGGGTGCAAAGGCATAAGAATGATACAGTGGACGTTGGGAACTTAGGGGGAAGGTTGGGAAGGGGTGAGGGATAAAAGCCTACAAATAGGGTGCAGTGTATACTGCTCGGGTGATGGGTGCACGAACATCTCACAAATCGCCACTAAAGAACTTATCATGTAACCAAATACCATCTGTACCCCAATAACTTATGAAAAAATTAAAAGTAAATTTTTAACGTTTAAAAAAAGTAAAATTAGTGACTAAAAAAGGAAATTGCATGCAGTCTGTCTGTCGTCTATCAATCTAACATCTATCATCTAAGCACCCATCCATCCATCACCTATCTATCTATCTATCTATCTATCTATCTATCTATCTATCTATCTATCTATCTACCTACCTACCTACCTATACATCTTACCTATCTACCTATACATCCGTTTAAGAACAATTTTCTGGGAGGAGGATTGATAATTTTCATTAAATCAGCAAAAATTGTCCAGTACCTAAATTATGTTGAAACTTAGTGCCAGAAAGTTATTTCTTCCTTCAAGAAAATTTAGACTAAGGATGATTGCCTATGACCTAAATTGTCAATAGTTCATGGAACAAGATGTGTATATTTTGCTCTTTCTTTCTTATTCTCTTCGTCTCCTTCCTTCCTTCTTCCTTCTTTTCAACAGCATCTCACTCAGTCACCCAGGCTGGATTACAGTGGTGCCATCACAGCTCACCGCAGCCCCGAACTCCTGGGCTGAAGTGATCCTCCCACCTCAGCCTTCCGAGTAGCTGGGAATGCAGGCATGCGCCACCATGCCCAACTAATTTTATTTTTGTTTTCTGGCACAGACAGGGTCTCACTTTGTTGCCCAGGCTGGTCTTGGACTTCTGGCTTTAAGCTATTCTCCTGCCTCAGCCTCCCGAAGTGCCAGGATTACAGGTGTGAGCCACTGTGCCAGCCTGTTTTGCAGCTTTCTTAAGAAAGCACAGTTGAGAAGAGAAAACACTAAGAGCTTGACACATGCCAGCTACTGTGCTGGGAGCTTTTTCAAGTGTGACTTCATCTGATCCTCATAAATACTCAGTTTCAAATTAGAATGACTCTCCTCCACTCAGAGATGTACATATATAGTCTACATTCCCATATCCTTGAACTAGTGATGCAACTTATCATCAATAAGGTCTTGCAATAGCTGTCAGACAAGCAGAGTGACATAGCTGCTGTCGCTTGTACAGGGACAAACTAAGTCTTCAGGTTAATATTCTTGACACTTCAATTAAGTTGTGTGGATTGCTTATGTTTCATGTGTTGAGTGTAATTGTCATTTTAAATATCAGAAAACACCATGATTTGGCTCGTGTGTTGTGTGTGCAGAATGACACATTAGTAGAAGACCATGATGTAAATTTACTGTTAATGAAGCACATACTCATTGTTTTAGGAATAAACCCAGGTACATATTTTCTTGCAAATCAATAACCAAGTGCTTTATGGGGCACAAGAAGACAAAGGGATGAAGAGTATCACATTTTGTTTCTGAGATAGGCCCAAAAGGATTGCCTAGCACAAGGAAAACAACATGGCCCATGTATACATATGTAACAAACCTGCACGTTGTACACATGTACCCTAGAACATAAAGTATAATTTAAAAAAAAAGAAAGGCAGAAGGAGTTGTCAAAATCTCTAGGAGTAGATGAAAGAAAATTCAAAGAAAGAAGGGGCTAGTGTCACCAGTTCAATGATAACTTGCAGCACGGGTGTCAGCAGCTTAGAATAAAGCCAAACTCTGCATGACCAGTGCTGTTGGTAGAACTGAGAACGATGTTGTGTAAGAAAGCACAGGAACCAATCTGGGGTTGAAAGATGATTCATAGGAGGCAGTCTCCAAATGTGGAGACATTTTAAGAAATCTTTAACACATTTATTTCCCACATATTTTTTTTTTTTCTATTTGCCTTCCAAAAGTCTACGTCTCAACAGAGCAAGAAGCTCTGTTAATAAGTATAAACATTCTAAGTGATGAGATTGCATCTTAGAGTTGTAAAACAACAGTGTGTCTTTCAATGACATCTTAGTATTAATGAGATACAACATTAAGGATAATTTCTCTAAATGATTATCATTATAAAATGCATTAAAAATTATCCCTTCAAGTTGCCCCTCGCCACTTCTGTAAGATGAAAAGTTAAGTACACATTAACTTCCCAATGCCCAATAGTCAAGCTGAAGTTTCATCTGGAATAAGAATGATAATTGTATATTAAAGATATTATTTGTCCTTTGTATTTTACCTAATCAAACTCGAATGTTTCTTTTTAACATTTGGTAGTAAACAAGCTGATAGCCTGGGCTCACTAGGAATCTTCACATTGTTGGCCTTCTTAGGTTCCGGGGTAGGGAAAAGCAGCCTTGTGCATCCAAACCACACCCCACACCTCCGCACATGTAGAGGAACCTAAGAACGAAGCTCAGAAAAGAAGAACCATTTCAAAGGCTATGGTACAGGCTGGATGAACTCATCCCTGTGCTGTGCCAGCAAGTGGAGGATGGAAAGTCTGGCCAATCCTTAGACATTTTCTGATGGAATCATCACACACCCATGAAAGCTGAGGTCCTTTCCACAGCTTTGGGATTATTTGAACTTGTCCAAGCCCTTCCTTAGCTGGCACTTGCCTGGCAGGCCTCAGTTTGCCCTGCCCTTCCCTTCCCTCTGTCTGCACACCTAAGTACTACACACATCTAAGTACTACATCACATATCATTGGCCACTAATATAATATGATTATGAAAAGCAGGTGTTTAGTACTTTCCCTGACCATGTAACTAAGATGCTTGAGGTGTCTGAATCCTTGCACCAAGCACACCAGGAGATTTGGGCCATTGCTATTCTCCACCCCCACCCCCCTTATTGAAGTTTCCAGAGCCATGGCTCATCTGCTAGGGCAGGTGACAACTCTAATGACTCCAGAGCAAAAAACAAAGTGGCTTCAGAAAGGGTCCCCTTGACATTTCCAGAGACATCGTGCTTGGGGAATTTAGAAGAAACAAGCATTAGGAAGGGAAGAACGTGAAACCAGATGGCGAAGTGGCTGAAGTATTCTCTCTGATTGGAGCTTAGTTGGGCACTCTCTCCTCATCAATGCCAGAGCTCGAAAACTCTTAGAAGCCTAACTTGGAGTACGACCAACCTACGTTCATTCACCCTGAGGTCTGGGAACAGTATACAGAGAATGCAATTAGTCAGTCTGCAATATTCGGCTCTCTGGGCCCTTACGCCACCCAGTCTCCTCCTTACAGAAACTAAGGAATGTGCTTGGGAGACTTCAGTTACTTTCAAGGACTGTGCTTGGGAGACTGCAGGTGGCACGATCAGCAACCGTCCAATCAGTAAACTTACCAGGGTAACAGACAAGCCCATTTAGCCTGCATCCATAAGTTCCAGCCTTTTACCCCTCTCCTTTAGTTCTCCGAGAGCCTCTTTGGAAGCATGATGCCACGATGCTGCATCTTGGGTAAGTAGGACCCCAAATCCAAAAATCATCTCATCCCATCCCCAGTGCAGCTCCCAAACCTCAACCCAATTCATTCCCCTTTATCCCTAACATTATTCCAGCCTCCTGTTCCCTCCTAGTTATCTCAAAGCGTGACGAGCGTGCTGCTCAGAGCCTGCCTGAACAGGATCCCATACAGATTTAGCCCCAAGTGATAATCTCCACCTTTAAACCACCCTAACCCCTGTTTTTTTTTTTTTTCTGTTTGTTTGTTTCCGTACTTGTCACATTCTCAGCTCCATGTTCAACCTTTTTTCTTTCTCCCTTAGTTCTTGTCTGGGGGATAACAGTCTTCCTCTCCCAGTGTTCACAAGGAACTACAGGTAAGTACAGGACAGGGAAGAATGAAAAGGGAAGAGGTGACGGGAAGAGAGACCGGGAATTGAGTATCTGTTCTTCCTTGGATGCACACCATCAATGTCTGTCCCCAGATGCTCCTGTTGACTCAGGACCATGGCTGTGCCAGCCAGCGCCCAGGTGTGGGAACAAGATCTACAACCCTTCGGAGCAGTGCTGTTACGATGATGCCATCTTGTCCTTAGAGCAGACCCGTCGCTGTGGCTCCAACTGCACCTTCTGGCCCTGCTTTGAGCTCTGCTGTCCCGAGTCCTTTGGCCCCCAGCAGAAGTTTCTTGTGAAGCTGAAGGTTCTGGGTACGAAGTCTCAGTGTCACTCATCTCCCATCTCCCGGAGCTGTATCGGGTAAAGGCCCCTACCTTGCTCTTAACTAAAGGTATGAGGGAGGGATGAGGGACACAGAGGGCTTGAAGAGGAACTCCTGTTTGTGGAGTTCTAATAAGGGCAGAAGAGTCAGCCTGGTGGGAGCAGGGGAAAGCAAAAAGAAGAAGCAGATAAGCTATAAGTCTGCCTTTCTTCATGGTCCAGGACAAATAGCCCTCCTGTATAAATAACTCACAACCTTCTTGCACCCAGCTATCACCAGATCCTCAGCTGGTAGAAAAATACAAGTCATGCAGTTGCCTTCCTGATGTAAAAACCTAACATGCTAAATAATCCAGTGTCGGGAAGACAAAGATGCTTTGCTTCTCTGAAGAAGTTTATAATAATATACAATATATGTATATGCAGGGAACAATTGGTCAAAAGTGGCACAGAGAATCACAATTAACAATGTGGGGAAAGTCAGGGCAGTGGAAGTGGATGTATACTTTTTATTTTGAGGGCTTCAACCAAATTGCCTTGGAATTAAAGGTGTATTTCTGCAGCTTTCAGTATAGAGAAAAAGAAGAAAATGAAGCTGTGTCAGTTTTAGCATTAGCTATATCACAGCATGTTTTAAAAAGATAGATGAAGTTATTTGCATAAAGGTACAGCATTGAAATACTATGTTGTGTTTGTTTTTACATTTTTACATTTTAAAAATGCAGTAAAAGCCAAGTTAAATTTCTTTCTTTTTTTTTTTTTTTTTGAGACAGAGTCTCGCTCTGTTGCCCAGGCTGGAGTGCAGTGGCCGGATCTCAGCTCACTGCAAGCTCCGCCTCCGGGGTTCACGCCATTCTCCTGCCTCAGCCTCCCGAGTAGCTGGGACTACAGGCGCCCGCCACCTGGCCCGGCTAGTGTTTTGTATTTTTTAGTAGAGACGGGGTTTCACCATGTTAGCCAGGATGGTCTCAATCTCCTGACCTCGTGATCCCCCCGTCTCAGCCTCCCAAAGTGCTGGGATTACAGGCTTGAGCCACCGCGCCCGGCCTAAATTTCATTTAAAAAAAGAAAAATGCAAATCAGCTCACTGCAACCTTGCCATTATCAGTATTGTAAGTAGCTCCCTCCAGCACAAGCACCATCCTATAAAATCCCCAGCAAGCCTTTGTCTCTTTGCAGTCAGCTCCCCACTTGCTGTTTTGCCTTTGCTTTCTTGCAACATATTTTTCTACTTTTGCTTTAAAAATCTGCCTTTCTTTACCTACAACTGTCTTGGTGAATTCTTTTTACTACCCACGTGACACCAACCCTAGATAGTCATCACCTGAGACACTGTTGTTTTATCTCTGGCTAATTCTGAAATCTTTCCTCTCTTCTCCTTGTCTTTGTCTCATAATTCCTCAATTTTTCTTTCTTCACAGTTGAGAGGAAATAATACTCATCTCAGTGAGTTGTTGAGATGCATCTTGGGAAGATGCTCAGGCTATGAGTGTTGGAGTGAGTGGATGGGAGGAAAATCTTAGAAATTTTCTTTTCTTCTTCTTCTTTTTTTTTTTCAAGACAGGATCTCACGTTGTCATCTAAGCTGGAGTGCAGTGGCATGATCTCAGCTCACTGCAGCCTCAATCTCCTGGGCTCAAGTGATCTTCCTACCTCAGTCTCCTAAGTAGCTGGCACTACACTCACATGGCACATGCCACCACATCTGGCTAACTTTGTTTTTTTTTTTTTGTCTTTTTTGGATATAGGACTGGAACTTCAAGGCCACTGACAAATGTCACATGTTCCATCAAATGGTTGAATCTTGAAATGGTAGGCCGGTGCCGGTGCATCAAGCCGTAATCCCAGCACTGGAGGCCGAACGGGCGGATCACGAGGTCAGATCGAGACCACCTGGCTAATTACGGTGAAGAACCCCGTCTCTACTAAAAAATACAAAAAAAAAAAAAAAAAAAACTAGCCGGGGCGAGGTGGCGGGCGCCTATAGTCCCAGCTACTCGGGAGGCTGAGGCAGGAGAATGGCGTAAACCTGGGAGGCGGAGCTTACAATGAGCTGAGATCTGGCCACTGCACTCCAGCCTGGGCAACAGAACGAGACTCTGTAAAAAAAAAAAAAAAAAAAAAAAAAAAAAAAAAAAAAAGTAAATATATTTTAAAAGGGCTATAAATTGGATGTGAATTTTAAAAAGCATAAAAGTAAAAATAAACCTCTTAAGTTTATTTTTTTAATTTTTTATTTTAAATTGACAAATTATAGTTGTGTTTATGGGATGCAGCATGATTGATGAATTCAAGGTGGAATAATTAAACTCAAGGAAATTAACATATCTATTACCTTCAATATTTGACATTTTTCCGTGGTAAGAACACTTGAAATGTACTCTCTTAATAATTTTGAAATATACATTTTCTTTTACTATATGCATCATGCTGTGCAATAGCCAAATTATAGAAGTTTATGATATCTGTATCTTCTTGGTAAATTTCTCATTCATATTCCAAACTGAATTTCTGATTTCTTTGTGTTGGTTTTCAGATTTCTATTGCATCACATTTTCTTTAAGATCCATATTTTTAATTCTTTATCTGGCATTTTGAGGAATTCTTTGTTATTGGGATCTACTGCTGGACAATTGTTATGATCTTTCACGTGGTGTCATATCTTCCTGCTTTTTCATGGTGACTGTGTCCTTCTGTTGATATCTACACATTGGGTGTAGCAGCCAAGTCACTTGTTCCAGTTTGTTAAAATTGCTTTTGTAGGGGATAATTTTTTCCTGAGGATGTACGTTGTTAAGACACTTTGATTTGGGGCACTGTGATAGGAACAGGAGGCAGGAAAATTCTAGGCACAAAAGGGCAGGGTCCCTGGTAAGAGACCCACCCTCAAGGCTGGAACCACGGCCCATGGGGGAACTTTACATCCCTGTTTTCCTGCTCAAATGTTGCCTTTTCCAAAACCACTCCTGGACTGCCCCGTCACCCCTGCCCCTGTCCCGTACCCATAAAATCCCCAGGCTCCACTGGCAGAGAGCAGAGAAGGGAAGAAGAGGAGAAGCACCTGGACATCGGAGACTACAGATGAACTTCAGAGAGAAGCAACTTGACTTCAGAGGGATGGCCTGATGGCATAGCTTTGGAGAGGAGCCCAGCTGGGGATGGCCAGACTTCAGGGGAAAAATATCTTCCTGTTTCATCCCCTTTCCAGCTCCCCTTTCCACTGAGAGCCACCTTCATTAGCAATAAAATTCCCCACATTTACTATCTTCAATTCGTTCATGCAACCTGATTCTTCCTGGACACTGAGCAGGAGCTCAGGATACACAGGGCTGTCACAACGAGCTGTTAAACACCTAAGCCATTCGTGGATGGCAGAGCCAAAAGAGCACTGACTGCGACACTCCCTCTGAGGCTTCATGGGTTGTGAGCATCCCCCAGATGCTGCCGCAGGGCCAGTACAGAGTTGTGCTCCTGCCAGTGCCCAAAACACGCCTGCCCTGGCTCCTGCATCCCCTTGCCAGCATGCTCCACCCCCACCCCACCCCACCCACTGGTGAGCAATTGAGCGCTACAGGTATTTTGAGCACCCCTGTCACAAGTCTCATGAAGGGGTTAGGGAAATTATCCCGGTTGACCTGCAGTAGAGTGGTCTTTGTATGACTTCTTTGGCAGTATTCGGGGTCAGTGGTATCTGTGATTTCCTCAGAGGCTTAAGCTACAGCTATTAGTTGAGGTTGTAGTAAAGTTTAACTGGGGACTTGGATGTCAACTGAGCCAGTCTTTGGCCCCAGTAGTGGCAGCAGTGGGATGAGAGTGACTGTTTTTAGGCCCCAGAGCCGCATACCCTGGTTCGAGTTAGTGGGTTCTAGGGGCTGATTCTTGGGCCTCCAGATGTCTGGCTTAGAAGCTAGTAGTGGGAGCGATGATCCCGGTGTGTGGGCAGGTTCTCAGGCCCCTGGACAGCTGGTGTGGCATGGGAGATAGCAGTAGCAGTGGGGGAGCAGCTCACTGGGACTCAAGCCCTCCATGTTGGTGTTATAAGAAGATGCGATCAGTTGGCAGGCTTGTCCCCAGTCCCACAGTCACTTGTAGCACTGCAGTGGTCATTGTCCTGTGTATGGTGTACCCTGGAGAGCTTGGACTACCCTGTTTGGTAAGAGAGTTTGGTCTACCCTGTTCCTCTCCTAGCAGGGTGTGGAACACATCACCTCAAACTCACCTGGAGGGCGGGGCACAGCCAAGTGTTAAACACTTAAAATGGTGCCAGCTGTGGGCTTGTGACCAGGCAAGACAGAGACCCCTCCTAGAAAAGCATCATCCCACAGCAGGGTGTTGAGTATTATCCTGAGTATGTATAGGAGAGCCTGGACTCCCTGTCCCTCCTAAACCGGGCCACAGCTGCAGCCAAGTCAACTCTAACTGAGGCCAAGGGTGGGGCACAGCCTGAACTTCAACTGTGAAAACTGCACCTTGGGCCTGCAACCACAGAGGCTGAGGTCCCTCCCACGCAAGCAGCATGGGCAAGAAGCTATGGGGAATGCAGTCTGCTCACGTCTAAGTCTCAACTGCAGCCTTCGGCAGGGCGGCAGTGACCCTCCCAGGGGTGCATGGGAGTGCCTGGTCTCCCTTCCGCCTTCTTGCAGCAGCACAGTGGCAGCAGCTGTCCGTAGATACCTGATGTCTGGGCTCAAAATGGTGCCCATCTGAGGCTGCCCAGGGTTCAGATGCCTGTGGGAGTGCGTGTGCGTTCCCTTCCTGGAGCAACATCTTTAGGCAGCTTCGTATGTCAGGCCTGAGGCCCTGGTGAGTCCGGTGTTCCTCCCGTAGCCAAGACTATAAAAGCCCGTTTGGGAGTGTGGAGCCCAGGGGCTGTCCCTCTTATTGCCTCCCCACACCCAGGAGTCTCTCCCAGCTCAGTCAATCCCAGGCGGGCAAGCTGCCTCGGACCCTCTGCTTACTTCTGGTGCTGCCCATCTCTTCTCTGGTGAACCCCAGCATTCTCTCCTAGACCATTTGTTTGAAATGTGAGTATCTACTTGCTATTCTGGTTTTCTCTGTGGAGGACACCTACCTGCATCTATTCAGCCATTATGATTCATCTCCAAAGTCTATTCCAAATTACAGAACTTCCAAACTACAGAACTTCCAAATTGCAGAAGTTTAAAAGGCTGCTTCCAAAGTGTAAAAGGCTGCTCCAAAGTCTATTCCAAATTACAGAAGTTTCAAAGGCTGCTTCTAGACTATCGGTGGTTTAATGTTAAACACATTTATGAACACTAAACTTTCCTTTAAATTTTTTTATTGTTTTAATTGCCTCCTGTTTACCTTGTTTATAAGAAAAGGATTCCCACCCTAGGGCTGTGGGGATGGCAAAACACAGGACGTTAATTCTGGGTGGATGAAATCAACAGTAGATCATTAGCCCCACCTATGCTCACAGCCTGAGGGAGGACACTGCATGCTAAGAATGGCCACAAAGGTTGCATTTAGGAGCACCCAACAAGCAGGGGCTACGGAAGGCAGGCTCTGTAGTGTCAAGAGAGTGAGGTGGTCCCTGGTTCCTGCAGGAGGAAGTGCTATCTCCATTCTGGGGCCTGTAGTCCCAAGCAAGATTCATTTTAAAAATGAATGGATGGGCCGAGCATGGTGGCTCAAGCCTGCAATCCCAGCACTTTGGGAGGCCGAGACAGGAGGATCACGCGGTCAGAAGATCGAGACCATCCTGGCTAACACGGTGAAACCCCGTCTCTACTAAAAATACAAAAAAATAGCCGGGCGAGGTGGCGGGTCCCTGTAGTCCCAGCTACTCGGGAGGCTGAGGCAGGAGAATGGCCTAAACCCGGGAGGCGGAGCTTGCAGTGAGCTGAGATCCGGCCACTGCACTCCAGCCTGGGCGACAGAGCAAGACTCCGTCTCCAAAAAAAAAAAAAAAAAGAATGGATGGTAGTCCGGGCGCGGTGACCCACATCTTGATTGAGGCCATCCTAGCCACCGTGGTGAAACCCCCGTCTCTACTAAAAATACAAAAAAAATAGCTGGGCATGGTGGCATGTGCCTGTAGTCCCAGCTACTTGGGAGGCTGAGGCAGAAGAATCACTTGAACCTGGGAGGTGTAGGCTGCAGTGAGCCGAGATCGTGCCACTGCACTCCAACCTGGCGACAGAACGAGACTCCATCTCCAAAAAAAAAAAAAAAAAGGAATGAATGGATTCACAGAATGAATGTGACTGGGCTGCTTGAGTGATTTCAGGGTCTGGCAGGGAACTGAAACCAGCTATTCAGGAATAAACAAGAACTGTAACCGGTCTCCTTGATAGGGAGGGTTGTTTGGCTAAGAGATCTTATCCACAGGAGCACTGTGAGGGGGAAACTGTGGTTCAGACTTGTAAGGCCCTCCCAATGTCCCCAGCTACCAAGGACGTATATAATGTTGGGCCTTAATTTTAGGTCTTATGCAATACTTATGCATGAAGATGTTTACACATGCCTGTGCTTCTTAGATAATACAGTGTTTGTTTGAAAGGCAGAATTAGGAAACCACAAAAAATCAAAGGTAACACAATTCTTCCACACAAACTGAATGTTTTAAATCTCCACTAGAAATGAAAAAAAAAATTTTTTTTTTTGAGACAGAGTTTCATTCTTGTCACCCAGGCTGGAGTGCAGTGGCGCGATCTCGGCTCACTGCAACCTCTACCTCACAGGTTCAAGCGATTCTCCTGCCTCAGCCTCCCAAGTAGCTGGGGTTACAGACACCCATCACCACACCCCACTCATTTTTGTACTTTTAGTAGAGACAGGGTTTCACCATGTTAGTCAGTCTGGTCTTGAACTCGTGACTTCAGGTGATCCACCTGCCTCAGCCTCCCAAAGTGCTGGGATTACAGGCATAAGCCACCGCGCCTGGCCCAAAATGCAAACATTTTTAAAACAAATCTTGCTTGGGATTACAAGCTCCAGGATGGAGATAGCAAAAGTTAGAAGTTTGATGTGGGTGGTGAATCTGCTAACAGGAGAGTGATAGGCATAAGGAGACAGATGAAGTTCTAGGAGCTAAACTGGACCTCAGAACCAACGCCAGCAGCAGGAATTGTCAGACTGTCCATCAGTGGTAGAATTTTTGCACTGCCTATGTCCCTGTGAAGATCTAATTTTCTTGACTGCAGAAATCTGCCCATGTGTGAGAACAACAGCGTGACATAACTTCCTGGGCTATGCCACTCAAGGAAGATAGGAGACCCCCTAGTGTCAATGTGATACCTGGAAAGCCAAGTGCTGTGGCTCATGCCTGTAGTCCCAGCTACTCAGGAGGCTGAGGCGGGAGAATCACTCGAGCCCAAAAGTTCCAGGCCAGCCTGGGCAATATAATGAGACTCCATCTCTATTAAAACAAAAACAACCTGGAAACTATACAGGGTGTGTGTGTGTGGGGGTGGGTGTGTGTGTGTGTGTGTGTGTGTGTGTGTGTGTGTGTCACATAGCTGAATAGGACACATTCATAAACCTAAAGTTGGTAACAGAAGGGATTGGGGTCGGGCACAATGGCTCATGCCCGTAATCCCAGCACTTTGGGAGGCCAGGGATAGAGAATCACTTGAGCCCTGAGTTTGAGACCAGCCTGAGCAGCAGAGTGAGAATCTTGTCTCTACGATTTTATATATATATATATATACTAGCCAGGCATGATGGCACATGCATGTAGTCCCAGCTACTGGAGAGGCTGAGGTGGGAGGATCCCTTGGGCCCAGGAGTTTGAGGCTGCAGTGAGCTATGGTTATACCACTGCACTTTTGCCTGGGTGACAGCACAAACTCTGTCTCTAAAAATATCAAGCAAACAAACAACAACAACAAAACAACAAAAAAGAAGGGATTGAAAACTACCAATTCAATCAGATTTTTAAAAATGACTTTTAAGAGAATTCTTCTTGGCCTGCTGCAATGACTCACACCTGTAATCCTAGCACTTTGAGAGACAAAAGTAAAATGATCACTTGAGGCCAGGAGTTCAAGACTAGCCTGGGCAACACAGCAACACCTCATATCTACAAAACATAAAAATTTAAAAAGAGAGAAAACTTCCTAACTGCAGCCTCAATTAACCTTTATTCTCCAGGTATACTGAAAAAATTTACTGAATAAGCTTAGCTCAATTAAAGCTTAAACTTACTTTTCAAATAAATAATAAAGTACCTTACATAACGAGAAAAAAATAGTACAAATAAAGCTCAAGATTTTAAGGCTTCATTTTAAAATCGAATCCTTGCCTACTTTTACTCCAACCAATTAAGTTTATGCCAAACCAGTATATAAAATTTTTACTAGTTATTATAATTGCCTAATTTAAGATAAACAAGTTAATTAATTTAATTTGTGTAAGTTGTATAAGATAAATAATTTAATATAAGTTAAATTCAAGTGTGGAAAGATTTACTGGCTCTATTAAAACTAAAAATATAAGCAAGGTAATTGGCATGTTAATTAGCTTGATTTAATCTTTCCACACAAGTACCACTGTGGGTTGGTACGCCTTTCCCAGAACTCCGTTACATGAATTAGAGCATCACATTGTATCAGATAAATGCACACAATTATAATTTGTCCATTAAAAAAATACAATTGGCCCACTTCGGTGGCATGCACATGTAATCCCCACAACCCGGGAGGCTGAGGTAGGAGGATTCCCTGAGGCCAGAAGTTTGAGACCAGCCTGTGCAATATAGTGAAACCTCATCTGTAAAATTAGAAATTGTTCTAATTAGAATAATACTAATTGAAACTTGCTTTAACTGAAGCAGATGCTTTGGAAAGATTCAATATAGCTGAATCAGCAAAGAGACATTGTTCTTATTTGCTAGAGGCAAAGTGATGTATTTTTTTTTCTCAATATTAAATTTTAAAGAATTTATTTTCCCATTTGTGGAGTAACATTATTGTAACATCTACAGTTATTGCAATACCTGCATTGCTTAAAAGAATTCCTAAGAATTTTGTTAAAGCATAGTTTTTTTTAAAAAACTGAACCAAAATAATGTACATTTTATCTCTAAACACTGTGTCATTAAAGTCCACATAACATCCTCTGTAAAATCAATGTGATGTTACAATAATATACATGATCTGATTCTTATCCTAAAGGCTTCTCTGACCATGTAATGATATCCAAGATAGATCCAATGCCTTTAATATCAGACTGTAGAGACAGTTATGATCCTAAACAAAAGAAGGAAAAGCTGTATATACAGGACAGCAATATGACAGTTTAGCTGTTTGCAGCATCTGCTTGGCGGGGCCGTCCTTCTTCTTCAACTCCAGAGTCATACTCCTCTTCAGAGGATTCTTTTGTTGGAGCCCGGATGTATCCTGGTTCCTTTTTTCCTTCTACTACTTCTTTGTCAACCTCCACACGTACGATATCAGAATTAGGGACTTCAAACATTGGTTCTAGTAACAGTTTTTCCATTATGGACCGAAGGCCTTGTGCACCTATTTTTCATTCCAGTGCCAATCTGGCTATAGCTTTCAAAGCATCCTCAGTAACATTCAGTTCACACTTATCCATACTGAATAAGGCCTGGTACTGAGGAATAACAGCATTTCATGACTCAGTTAGTATTTGTACAAGTGTTTTCTCATCTAGGCTATGCAATGGAACCACCACAGGCAACTGTCCCACAAACTCAGGAATCATGCCAAACTCAATCAGACCTCGAACTTTTTCTTCAATGTCTTGGTGAGTATTTGATTCCCCACTTTATTAGCAAGGTCTGCAGCAGCTGTAGCCCTTCTGCCTTTTCCCAGATTAGATGGTGTTCCAAATCCAAGATACTTTTCATTTTTCCTCCTGCTGATGATTCTGTCTAAACCACTGAAGGCACCAGATGCAACAAACAGGATGTTTGTTGTATCAACTTGTGCTGTTTCTCCACGGAGCTTTTGGGAATTCTTTTCTGGAACATTGACTATTGTGCCTTCTAGTAGTTTTAATAGGCCTTGCTGAACGCCTTCTCCACCTACATTTCGTAACTGATGAATGCCTGGCACACTGCCAATCTTATCGACTTCATCCAGAAAGACAATTCCTTGTGCTTTTTCCACAGTGTAATTGGCATCTTGGAGTAGTTTGGCAATCACAGATTCAATATCCTCGCCTACGTATCCAGCCTGAGTCATAGTTGTACAGTCACAGATAGCAAAACGGACATCAAGGCATTCAGCTAGGGTTTGTGCCAGCAGAGTTTTACCTGACCCAGTTGGTCCAAGTAGCAAAATATTACTTTTTTCAAGTTTTCTGTCATCATGAGAAGAATCCAATACTTCACCTCCTCATTTTTCCTGAGGTATCTGTTGATTTACCTGTTGCTGCATTGATGCTCCTAAAGCATTACCATGTGGGCTCATTCCAGCAATCTGAAGTAATTTTGTAAATCTGTACTCATCCTCCCGTCTTCTTACTTCTAACTCTCTTGGTGTTAATGATGTCTGCTTCTCAACCTCTGCTTGCTGTCTCAGATTAGCTGGGATATTATTATGTATTCCCATAATACATATGGAACCTATGCAATGGAACCACCACAATGTGATTGTACACAGCAACTGAAAGCACCTTCTTAGCAAATGACTGGCCAACAACATGCTTGTCGAGGTAGTTATAAATCTTCTTAGGGGGAGGTGGTGGTTTCTGTTGGAATGCCAATTTTACAGCTTCTGCTGCTGATGCAGTTTCTTTAACTATGCTTTTCTTTGAGTCTGCTTCAGATAGCACAACAAAAAAATGATGACATTTTTCACACTTGACAAAACGGGTGGATGACACAAAGGTCTCTATATGTGTGCACAAGTCGCCACATTTAGGACAGCGCAGCTGGTTTCCGCCTTTCCCAGAATTCCCAGGGCCTGATTTCTTACTACTTCCCTCACTTGCTGATTTCTTATTTCCATTTCCAGAACCATCTTTACTTATCCCATCTTTTGAGGCAAAGTATGCTGGTGTTTCTGTAAAAGATCTAAGAGGAGCTCTTCGCAGAATCTGAGTTTCAAATGTCCCAAGCCTTCCTAAAACTGGTATATGAATGCGACCACCATAAATACCTCTCTGCGCGGAGGCGAGTGAGGAGGTGACGAGCCGGGCGGCAGCTGCGCCGCAAGTACAAGCACCGCAGCTGGGCATTTCCGCGGGGCCTAGGCCAGGGCTTCGCCCCCTGAGGACCTCCGGGTCTCTGCGGTGCGAATCCTGCTCGCAAGGCTCGCTGACTCGGTTCCGAACCCTTCCGCGGGCCCCACACCCCGTGCAGAGTTCACCTGCCCGGCAGCCAGGCCTTCGCGCTTCTGTGCCCCACAGCCCTCTACTCACCAGAGTAGACACCCAACCCGACCTCGTGATGTATTTTTTTAATTACTAAAATCTAGGATTTCCCAGTCAGACTATTATGTAAATGTCCTCAAACTCATAGCACTTTTTACAGAAAACCGCAGGTAGATATTGCCAGCAATGCATTATCAATATTATCTGGTGGTGTTGCCACAAAGACAATGAGAGCTCTTTTCTGTAAGCTCACACTCACAGAGAAAATCCTTTCTTAAAAGATTGGGAAATGAGGCTGGGCGCGGTGGCTCAAGCCTGTAATCCCAGCACTCTGGGAGGCCGAGACGGGCGGATCACGAGGTCAGGAGATCAAGACCATCCTGGCTAATACGGTGAAACCCCGTCTCTACTAAAAAAATACAAAAAACTAGCCGGGCGAGGTGGCGGGCGCCTGTAGTCCCAGCTACTCGGGAGGCTGAGGCAGGAGAATGGCGTAAACCCGGGAGGCGGAGCTTGCAGTGAGCTGAGATCCGGCCACTGCACTCCAACCCGGGCGACAGAAAAAAAAAAAAAAAAAAGATTGGGAAATGAACAATCCAAAAATAGAATTACCAGTCCCACTTACAACATCAACAAAAGGAAAAATGGACCCATCCTCAGTCACCAAGACCTGAGAACAGAGAGTGGCAGCTCCTTCACACAGGTGGCAGAGAAAGGAAGCTGTCAGCCAGGGAGCCTCCTGGAGTATACCTGAGATGGGCAGAACTGGGGACATCAGTTCTCTACAGCAACACTGCAATGAGGAGCTGGAGTGGCGTAGAAAAAATTCCAACACTTTTTGCTGGTGAGTGGCTCTACTCATTCATTCATCCCTGTAGCTGGTTCCCTTCTTGAAGCTTGAAAATAATCTGAACTTTGCATGTCAAGAGCTGCTGGCCTCCTCCCAGACATTAATTTTCTGTATTGGGTAGGTATTGGCTGCAAACACAAGATGAGATTACACAGAGAGTTGGGGAGTGAAACTGCTCCCACTCAGGCTGAGTCACCAGAGTCAAGCTGCATTACCAGACTCACCCCCTCAGAGGTTTCTGGGGTTGATTGACAGCTTGGGTCTGCATAGCTACCTCTCAGAGAACACACTGGCCGCAGCTCCCAAGTTGTAGCTGTTTCTGCCTCCCCGACCCAGAACTGCTACTTCCCTCAACGTTTCCAGTGATTTGTCGCATTTCATTTTGTCTTGTGTTCTCTACTGAAGCTGCCCGATTTTCGTTTTATGTGCCTTACCTGACATTTTGGGGGTTATTCACATTTTGAAAATGTATTTTCATTTTCCCTGTAAGAGAAAGCCTGTGTTTCTGGCTTGCAAATCAGGCTCGAGATGGCACCTTACCCAGAGCTCAGGAATTCTGGGTGAGGATTGAATGTGGGGAATGTCACAAGATTTAGCCTGCTCCTGTAGGCAAAAGGACCTTTTGAAACACACAAGTGGAGATAGTTAGGTATTTCATACACATAACATAGTTGTGATACAAAAGCCAAAGAAAGACAATCGCCAAATATTCTAGGACACTGGTCCTCACTATTAGTATGCATGAGAGCCACTAGGGCTATGGATGAAAATGCAAATTCCTGGGCCTCACTCCCAGAGATTTTGATTCTGTAAATCTGTGGGGAGTCCAGGGATCTGCATATTCAAAAAGCACTTGTATTAGTCAGTTTTCACAATGCTATGAAGAGCTGCCTGAGGCTGGGTAATTTATAAAGAAAAGAGGTTTAATTGGCTCACAGTTCTGCTTGGTTGGGAAGGTCTCTGGAAATTTACAATCATGGCAGAAGATGAAGGGGAACCAAGGCATATCTTACATGGTGGCAGGCGAGAGAGAGGGAGAAAGTGCCACACTTTTTAACCATCAGATCTCGTGAGAACTCACTCACTATCATGAGAAAAGCATGAGGGAAACTGCCCCCATGATCCAATCACCTCCCATCAGATCCCTCCCTAACACGTGTGGTAATTCAAGGTAAGATTTGGGTGGGGAAACAGAGCCAAACCATATCAGCACCCATGACTTTAATAAATGGAGCTCACCAATAACTTCTGTGAAAATAAAGACTAACCAGATGAGAAAGCAAAGGCCATCTATTCTACAACAAATAAGTCAGCCACCATCACTTCCATTTTGGGAGAGACTCAAAGGCCAGCCGAGCAGTAGGAAAGCTTTACAGTGGAAAAGGTATCATCCTTTTTTTCACATGTTCCCTGATTCGAGGCTGTTGGCATGGGGAAGCTGAGGATAGCTAACTAGATGTACGGCATCCTATGCGATTGGTTTAGGGTACATATTTGGCTTTCCTAGGTTGCTCCTAAGTTAGAAACAGGAACAAAAATTTGGGAAGCTGTCAGTTATTAATCAAGTCCTGGCCATTTGGAGCTGACTGTTACTGGAGTTATTGTTTAGTTTCCTGGATTGTTACTAGAGATAGTCTGACTTCCTACAAGTGTGACTTACAGCAAGTGGCTTCCTGGGCTAGTTATTGTAGAAAAGTGGGTTGATTTCCTAGGCAGGTAGCTGTAGGGCATGGGTCAGAGTTCTGTTTTTATATGTGGTCTGGCCATTGTCTGTATATTTTGTCTCTCATCTCTGAGAAATACAGCCATAAACCAAGCTCTTTTTGTAACACAGAGCAGAACTTCAATACAGGGGACTGCTTTCTTCATTATTGCTGTCATCTATTTGTTGCTGCTTTTTGACAGTGATGATCTCAAGGCAAAAACGGCTGAACATCCTATTTAATTAGGATAGTCCAGGGCTCTAACTTACATGCTTTACACAACCATTGCCTTCTTAGGCATGGCAGATAACAAGCATGGAATATTATTGCTAGTCTTGGCTTTGTGGTGTAAAGTTGGTTTTTATACAGCTCCCAGAAAGCTCTCTATAGACATCAGTGGAGCCAAAAGTCTTCAAGCTTTATCCCATCTTATTTCCTGCTTCTCTTGTGCCCATGGGTCATTATCTTTCCTGTGACAACTGAGATTAAAGATAAATCTTGGTTTTCTCTCTTTATGCCTTGCACAATGCTTATCTTCTTTGTCGTAATCCTGGATTACATGGAATCCATTTGTTCAGTCAAAATGGAAGTTTCCAAATGTCCCCACAATTGATCCTTTCCCATTTTTGTTAGTGCTTTGGAAATTTTTGAATACATCCAACAACAGTCTGAACAAAACGGCATACCAGGAAAGTGCAGAACACATTCTGTCTGGAGGAGTGGCAGTGAGTGCTAGGTCTTCATTTTGTCTACTGATGTCTTTTCATCTCCCTCTAAGAGAGGACAGAATGCTTTTTGCCTCTGTAGAATCATTCTGTGATGTGTTGACCAGCAGTCTGGGTCTCATCTCAGATGTATTTCACACACTCTATGACTGCTGTGTTTTAGTCACGATATTTATTGCTGCCCTGATGAAAAGATGGAATGCAATGGGGATTTTTCTCCTATGGGTGCACCCAAATAGAAATTCTCTCTCAATTTATTAATAGACTTTTTCTTTTTTCCAAGAAAATTCCATTTGTATTTCAATTAGTATTAAAACAAACTTACAAGTGTTTTGAAGGAATTGACCTCTTCCCTAAAATGCACCTTTCCACTCTGAGCAGCAGCTCTAATGTACTGTATTTCCTTGACACCATCACTAAGTATGAGCCACATCATCAATTTGATAGCAGATTTGTAAAAACCAAACCAAAACATTACATTACATCCAGAATGTGATGATTCTTCCAAATCACTTTCAGCCATTGGCAGCAATCACAGTGACAGGCTGTCTACTCCCACTCCTGCTCCCCAGGCTTAAGCTATCAGAAAATCTGTTCTCTAATATATTTGGAAGTTCTAAGGTCAAACAAGTTTCAGGGCTGCTTGATTCAGCTGCTCATCCATGTCCTCAAGGTCCCAGCTTGTGTTCATCTCGGCTTTGTGGTCGTGACTGTACTGGTTTCACCTCCAGGCTCCTGGCACACGGATGCAACAGTTTTGGTATCACATCCAAACACAGCAATGTCCAGAGATCCAAAGAGATTCTCAGTCTTTTTCTTAGGAAGGAGGGACCTTCCTAGAAGCCCCATAGCTTTTTTCCTTTCTCATTGGAAAAACACGGTCACTAGTTCACTCTGAAACCAATTTCTGACATGGGGTGGGGGCCACTATAATTACTTAAGGCCAAACAGAATGTACCCTCAGGTGGTAGTGGTGGTTTTTGTCATAATTGCAGATCTTGCACCTCCAAAATAAATGTGAAGCACAACAAAGAATACTTGCCTATTAGTTAAATTGCTTAATGTAAACTCTCAGTTTTGTTGAATTAGTATTATTGGAAATTAAACTGCCTTTTGAAAGTTAGATGGGAGCTTCTGACACATAGACGCTCAGCATCTCAGGGATAAATCTTCATAAAAGGAATAAACTGGTCACTCCAATTTCTCCTAGCTTTGAAAGCCGTAGAGTCTATTCTGGAGGACTATTTAATGAAGCAGTTTTGAATGCAACAGGAAAAGTTCCATGTAACAAAGTTTTCTGTTTCACTGCTTCATCATAATGTAATTTTTTTTATTTTTATTTTTTATTTGTACAGACTTGGGGTGTACATTTACAGGTTTGTTACAAGGATATACTTCATAATGGTGAGGTTTGGGTTTCTATTAATAGATTTTTCTAATGGCAAAACTTGTTTTTGTGTTAGTCGGTGGCTCAATTGATCATCTAGGATTAGATACACATGTTAACACCAGTCTCAGCTACAGGGCTGGCAGTAAACCTGATTGGTATCTGTGCTCATAACAATACCTGTTGAGCTTCTCAATGAAGATGTCACTCATCTGATCA